AAAGAGAGTTTAATACAAGAGGGAAACAGGTGTGGGCGTGTAATAAATAAGGGAAAGCGGGCATTTAATAATGCACATGAATTTTTAGAACATAGTCCATGTGCCACTACCCCATCACTTCACTGCTCTCTCTTTCACCACCATTATCACTTCTCTCTCATTTACCCTGCCGGCACCTTCATAGAATTAAGGTTCAAAGATTTGTTTATTACTGAGTACTCCCATAAAATGTATTGCCTCTAAATATCCACTTCATTAATCTCTTCTCTCTTCAAAACCACACCATATTCTTCATCAGTTTCCTCTCCCTCTAAAATGATCACAAGTTTGTTGTTCAATCTCAACCATTGCAATAACTTGCAACAAGAAAAGACCACATCAACGTTCAACTATTTAATACGTGCACATCCAACTACAACAACAATAACTAAATGAACATAGAAAAGAAAACCGAAACGTTTCGTACTTATTTCATTTTGGTTTTTGAATATGTATTTTGTTTAAATCTCTCGATTTCTTCGTCACGCTGATTTATTCATACGTTTCTTTACCTCTTGTCACTCTCTAGTCTAGACATAGGTAGTACATACATTTATCGAAGGGAGAGAAAATGTGTTTTGGAGGGACAAAGGAGGGACAAAGGTTCCTTCAAAAGTTTCGACGAACAGAGAGAAAAATGCATAAAAAGGTATCAAATTTTTAGCGGTGACCAACAACAAAATAGTACTTACAGTGTATATAAAACGCGGTTTCAAATAATCTACATATATTGCACACATCACAGTCCCATGATAAACAGTACCAATGGCCCCAACCTATGGCAGTGTACTGATCCCCTCCTATTTATTCCCCTTTCAAACCCCCCTTTCTCTCTTCATTTCCTCAACTAAAAACTTCACAATTTCCTCGTTAAGTTTCCTCTTCTTCCAATTTCCCTCCTCCCCCTTTCGCAATTGGGGCATAGAATATAGAATTTGACTCCTTTTTTTGTGGAATTTTGCAGGGGAATTGATGG